GTGAGGGGTCGCCTTCACGGTGCTGCCCCTGCTGCGGAGCGGGGAGTTCCCAGCCCAGCCCTGCTGCCTGCAGGCGCCCACAGAGCGGGTCAGGGTGCGAGAACAGAAGGGCAAGGCACAAAAAAAGAGCAAAGACCACATTTACCTCGCAAAAGGGGCCCAAAGTGCGCCAGACCTGGGGAGAAAGAAAGGAGGGGATAGAGAGAGAAGGGGAATCGCAGAGTCATAGGGGAGAGGGGAGGCAGGAGGGGGGAGAAGCAAAACCAAACAGCCGTGTGTACACTAAGAGTCACAGGCAGGGCAGATGGGCGGGCAGGGGTCCCACGGGAGCGAGGGGAGGCACAGCCAAACGGGCAGTTACACAGATGTGCCAAGGGCCCGGCAGCACCGCCGGCGAACGCAGCTCCAGGACTGGGGCAGAGCCAGCCCTGCCGGGGAGCGTGCCGCACGGCCGGGAGACTGCTCTGGTGACCAGGGGACCCCCACAGGAACAAACGCCCCTCACCATGCAGAGGAAGCAGGGAGCCGCACAGCAGAGCTGGGGACAGGGACAACGAAGGGGCCACAGAGCAGAGGGGCTCCCAGGCCGTCCCCACCGCTGCTGCCCTGCTGCAAGCGGGGAGCAAGAGGTAACGGAGAGGTAACAGAGGGACCTCCTCTGCCCCGCACGGGCTGCGGCAGCAAATCCAGCCCCGTCCCTGCAGGGGAAGGGGCCCTTCCAGGCACCAAGCACAGCAATACCACGCCGGCTTCTTCCTCTCGGCTGGGCTCAAAACTCAGGCTTAAACCGTAGGGCAAACCGAGACAAGGAAGCCTTCACTTTGTTTGTGTGAGGGGGCCTCTGAACAGGCTCAGATCGGTGCAAACACCTGCCCCGCTCCAGAGCCCTGGGCATGAGCTCAGCTGCAAGGCCAAGGGCGAGCAGGGACCGGGGCAGCAGAGCCAGTACGAGCCCGGCAGCTGAGCTGCGAGCCAGCGGCGCTGCCTTCCTGCCAGGCCCGGCACAGGGCGAGCTGAGCTCTCTCCATCTGTGGGACAGGGAGCTCTCTGCACGCTCCTGAGGGAAGCCGCCAGCCAGCACATCCTTCGCGGGGAAACAGCCCTGTGTGTTTGGGTGCTGGTCAGGGCAACAGCCCAGCGAAACCCAGAGGTCTGTTACTATTCCTTATACACCCATGTTCCTTTATAGTCTTATCCCAGTTTAGCATCCCTGCTCCTGCAAAGGGGGCTGGAAGTCACCCAGCTCAGGAGGATATGGCCACAGGTACAAATTGCTCCGTGGCATCGGTTTGTGCCAGCACCTGCTTTCACCCCTGCCGAAACAAGTTCCTCTGGTCACCCTGCAGCCAGGGGAGAGCTCTGTCCACAGCAGGATGTGTGGGAAGGGTCTGTCCGAGCAGAGCCCCTGGGAGCTAACACTGTCTCTTGGTCAGTCCCATACACCCGGCCTTGGGCAGCAGAGGACAGCAGCCTCTTGGGGACCCAGGGGAAAGCTCTGCGGGTGCCACAGACCCTCTGTGCACAGAGAAGGGCTACCCAGAACAACCAGGCCTCACCGAGGCCAGAGAGAACATACTGCTCTGGGCAGAGGCCCATTTGAGCAAAACCAACCAACTCTGGCCACGGCACGTCTCCTCTCCTTTTCCCCCACCTTCCCTATCGCCTCACCAGTTCATGCTGCTCCTGCATCTGGGTGATCTTCTTGCTGTACTTCTGGTCCACTTGTTTCAGTTCAGCTACCACAGCCTCACACTTCTCACTCAGCACCTTCTTATCATCAATGAGCTGGTCAGGGTGAAGAAAAGGCATCAGGTAGCCAGGCAGGGTAGAGCCACCTCAGCTTCTGGCCTCAGAAGCATCCATCTGAGTGGGGATGAGAGATTACCTGGTCGATGAAGGCCAGGTGCCTCTGGATAGCTGCCTCATACTGCTCCCTCTGCAGCTTGAGCTGGTGGCCGAGCTCCTTCTCGGTCTGTTTGACGTGCCGGACAGTCAGGTCCCTCTGCTGAGCCTTTTGGATGTAGGGAAGAAACAGCCACAAGACATGAGAGGAGAAGTTACACCAGCCCCAGCATGTGTACAGGAGATAACTGGAAGGCACCGTCGGGCCAGAACAAGGAGCTAAATCAAAGTCCCTGGTACTCACGCCCCCTGCCCCGCTGTCAGCAAGAACACCCAAACCCCCATGGGCAGAGGAAAAGAGAGTTCAGGCCAGGCCCTGCACAGGGGTTTCTGGACTAGTCAGGCACCTGCCAGGCAGGGGAGTTTGAAGATGCCTTTCAAATCAGGGGGGCAAGGAGAAATCTGAGCGAAGCCCATACCAGACTGGGAAGGACCCTGCAGGTCTTTCCCATGCTAACAGCGACCAGGACTGCGGCATGTCCAGCAGCCTCCAGCACTCCAGCTCCTTGGCACTAGCTCTGGGAGTGCTACAGTACTTTGCTGGGGACACGGATGGGAAGCCCTGTTCACACTGATCTTGTGCTTCGAAGCCACTGCCCCAACAAACATCTGCTGAGGGCTCTTGGCCTTCATTCCCCAGCAAGCAGGCCCATCTGGCACACACACCAGGGCCGTCTGCAGCAGGCTGATGGCTCGCTTCTTTTCCTCCACTTCCAGCTTCAGCCTCATGATGGAGCTTGTGACCTCTGTGGCAACAGCCGATGCCTGCTCCAAGTGAGCCAGCTCCTCTTCCAAGAGGAAACCCTACCACAGGGAAAAAACATGATTAAAAGGTGGCAGGGACCACCTAGAACCAGGAGAAGGAGACAGGAGACCCTTCCCACCAGGGTCTCGCACCATCTCTCCAATACAGATGGGCTCTCCCTTCAGCACTCACCTCCCGCTGCGTGGCCGAGGCGGCCGACCTGGGCCTCTCCTGTTCCGACTTCTCCATCTCATCCAGGAAACTGATGATACTTTGAAGCTTGGCCTCTGAGAGCAGGGCCCCGTCCTCGGGGACCCCCGGGGAGTGGTTCAGCTTCCCAAACTTCTCCAAGTTATCAGCAGTCAGGGAATTGGAGCTGGGCTCCTGCTGGACAGACACAGCTGTGAACGAGCACCCGAGGGAAGGCTCGGGAGAAGAGGTGCTGGCTCTTTTCCATCACTGGAGCCCAGTCCTCCCACTGCACCCCAGTAACCCACCTTATCCTCTGTGCTAACCCCACTCCTGCCACAGCCCTCGCATGGTTTTGCTCCCCCTTGAGGATGCCCAAGCCCTGGCTGCACCAACACCCTCCACACCACTTTCTCCCCCCTCCACTGCCTTCTCTGGCAGTGAACCAGCTGCATCTCTCACCCTCCACCACCCAAGAAGCGCTGGGAGAAGGCAGCCCGAAGGGGAACTGGTTCTCACCAGGCAGCCATCGCTGCCTAAGGGTGGATGCAACTGGCCTCAGCCCCCTGCTCACCCTGTCTATCCAGGCATATCTGTCTTTCTTGAAGAGCTTTGGTGGGGGCAGCAGCTCTGGTTCTTCCTCCAACAGCCTGAGCGTGTCCAGCAGCTCATTGAGAGTGACCTTGGACTGAGCCTGGCCGACAGCAGTCACCACCGTCTCCAGATCCTCACCACCTGTCTCTCTGGAGCTCACATCCTAGGGGAGAAGACGATGCACCTTGCAATATAAGAGTTTGCTGGATCTCCCCAGAAGTCAACGAAGGCTCCAAAGCCACCCCAGCGGACGTCAGGAGCCCCGCAAGGTAAAGCCAGACCCACCTGCAGCTTGTCCTCTGCCTCGGGGTCCCGCGAGGGCCCGGAGCCAAGGTCTGCGAGGCCGCTTTCTTCTGGCTCTGCAGCTACCGAGTGGAAATTGGCCTCTGGAGGAACCAGACTGTTCTCAGGCACTTGCAAGAACCAGCCCCTTCGAAGCAGCTCTCCAGTGTGAGAGCTGCTCCTCCGTCCTCCTCCTTCCCCCTCATGTCACGCACTGCTCCAAAAGCATGGGAGACCTGCAGAAGGGACTCACCAGCGTTATTGGCTTTGGTGACGCTGCTGGCCGGACTGGTGTTCCTTGCAGAAGCAGGTTTGGCAGGCTTCTTCTTTGCTGCCCTTCTGCTCTCCTTCACCAGTGCAAGCTCTTCTTCTGCCAAGTGCTTTGCATCTGAAGCCTTTTGGGCCCTTTTCTGGTGCAGTTCCTGTAGGAACAGACAAGCCATCAGCGTCCTGCCCAGCACAGGGTGTGCTTTGACACAGACCCGCGCTGCTTTAAGTGCTAGCCAGGGCCTGGGAGACGGCAACAACCCACGCGCTTGCCTCTGAAGGGTTAACAAGGACAACTCTAGGGCAAGGGAAAGCACAGGAACAACAGCTCTACTCTTCCCAGGGTCTCGCCAGCTCCACACATGAACAAAGGCTGCTCACATGCCCCTGTGCAGTGTCCCTCGCGGCTCTGTAAAGGGTCTCCAAATCCCGAGGGCCAAACACCGTGCAGCGACGCCGCAGTGCCCAGGGGCTGCCTCAGCCGCCTTTTGGGAAGTCACTTGAGGCACATGCACGTGTTTGCAAGCCTGTTGCAGCATTTTGCCATCCTCCAGCTGCTCACTGCTATGTCTCCCCCAACTCACCCCATGAAATACGATTCCATTTAGGGGAAAGAGAAATTGGAGTTTTAAAAAAATCTTCAGCTTGCAGTAGCAAGCCAACGGGCAACTCCCCATAGTCTGTGCCAGCCCCCAATCTGCGCCCCAGGAGCGCCAGCCCTTTCCTGCCGCAAACAGGGCTGCAAGAAGAGGGTGAAGACAGCGAGGTCCTTCCTGCCAACAGGCACAGAGCGGTGCTCAGCCCACCCCGGAGGGACCCCGCTTCCAAGGAGGGTCCCGTTCCCAGGGCACTCTTGTCCTCAGCCACTCCGAGGAGCTGCAGTTACAGTCTCCCCGTTTCAACACGGTCAACCTTTTCCCCAAAACTAGATCGAAACCAGCACTGTCTTTGCAAGCTCCGAATGCGCTGCCAAGGCTTGGCAGGAGCACGGCGGGAAAACGTTCTATGGCACCTCCGTCTCCGCAGGGAGCAATCCATTTCCAAGGCTGGCTCTAATTCTGCTTCGTGCAAAGCCCCTAGAGATGCAGAGCAGAGGCCCTCTTGCTGCCTCACAAGAAGATGCCAACAAACTGTTCTCATGCGCGCCACAAGGCCCTTGCCTTGTCCCTACCTGGATGGCAGCACGTCGGGCCAGGCGCGCCTTCTCCTCTCGGATCTTCCGGCGTTCCTCATCCTTCCTCTTGTGCAAATCCAGGATATTCCCTTCCTCCATCCGCTGCTGCCTTTCCTTCCAGAGAGAAGGGTCAAAAACGTTACCGAGAGCTCTCCAGTACCCACCACCCACAGCAGAGAAGTGGGAAAGGGCACACCCCACCTGAGGTCACCCCACATCCAGGATTTCCATCCCTGCAATCCTCCTCTCTGTGTAGGTAAAGAGCCCTCAGAAAAGCTCCACTTTAGAGCAGCTTATTTTCTTTAGATACTAAATGCAATTATTAGTCATCTGGGTCTGAAACCACTGAGGAGACAAGGCTTAAAATAGACTCTCACATGTAAGAGCTATGGTACTTTTCGTTACTGGGATAAATAATTAAACACAAAGAAACACAAATAGCTGCAGATGACTCGTCACTCTCTAAGAAGCCAACTTGTTATGGATTCGCTACGATAAGCCAAGACAGGGCATCCCTCCTCTGGCCACGAGCGTGTCTGAGACAAAAAAGTATTTCCCCTGCTGCTGCCAAGCATCTGCTCACAGCTGAAGGGAGCTGGTAGACCGGAGCCGTGCAGCGCTGAGACCAGGGCCTCCCGGCCTGGCCTCCCCCTGGAACCAAACCTGGGCTTTCCCCCTGCACGGCCAGCACATCTCTGCAGGGACAGGACCCTCCCCGGCTCTCTAGACTGTGAGGGGCTGGCTAGATGCAAAGCCAAAGCGTTCTTGTCTCTGACAGCTCAGGTCTTGGTTGGAGGGTCTGGTGACTAAAGGGACTCAAATTCCCCCGCCAGCGAGGCAAGCGGGACATGGGTGTCAGAAGGGTCTGTGCTATAAGGCAGCGGACAGGACTGACCTCCGTTTTGGAAGCCAGCAAGCGCCCCAGAGCTGCTGCTGCCGCCCTGTGCCGTTGTGAGTGGCGTCGGTACCAGCGCTGGATGGTGACGGCAGCCAGGTTCACCTGCTCGATGAACCTGCGGGGAGAGGGAGGGTCAGCGTGGCCCCAGGGTCCTCCACTGCCACCGGCTGGGCAGCACCAACCCATCCTGCTGCAGCAGAGCACAGGCTCCTTGCCCACGGCACCGGGAATTCTTCTGTCCCCTCCCATCCCGACTCAACCAGACCCTTTCCCAGACTGACTTTTGGGGTGGGAGGAACTTGTGCCTTTGATAAGGACAACTCAAAGTGCAGGGCCAAGTCACGGGGAGGGTAAATCAGCCACTGTGGGTGCACTAAGAGTGGCCCTTCCCGAATCTGAAGCCCCGCAAGACAAGAACAAACCAGTGCTAGCCCCCCTGGAGCTCACCCCTCTGCCTGGCACCATCCTCCTGCCTCTTCCCACCAGCCATCAGGCACCAGCTCTGCCTCACCTCTCTGCCTCCTCCTCGGTCACCTCCTTCCTTCGGGGCAGGCTGCTGTTGTTGTTGCGGGTCATGATGTTGTTGCTGGAGAAATTCTTCTGAGACTTCACAAAGCTGCTGCTTTCACTGTCCTCGTTTGAGGTCGCTTTGACAATATTGCTAAGGCAGAAGACAAAGCTACTTGGCACCATCCTGCCCCGTCCCATGCCATATCCACATGTGAACACAGGGTCGGCACAGCCTCCAAGCCAGGACCTCACCACTTACTTGAGGGAGCTGGGTGCCTGGTTGGAGCTTTTGGGCGCAGAGCCCTTCTCAGTGGTGGAGTAGTTGTTGTGCACCATGGTGGTGACACAGTTGCCCATCGCGCCCTTGTTGCTCCTTTTGTGGAGAGAGGACGAAGCGTTAGGACTTGCTGGATCCGAAGGGGACAGGCACTCCTCACGTTGCAGCCCTCAACGCAACTGTGACCGTCTGGAGCATCTCCCAAGGCGAGGAGCGAGCGAGGCCTCACAAGTTCTCTAGAGCTCGCTCCTCGGTAGCTGTTACCCGACGCACAGACAGACACAGCCCGAGCAGACCTAACCGCCTGCTGTTCAGGCTACTTTACACACAGCCTTGGCTTAAGTCTCTCCTGGCTGGGAAGGGTTCAAGTTCTACTTGTTCCCTTTCCCAGAGCAAGAGCAGCCTCTCCCACGCATCCATCAAGCTCCTGCGTGGCTTCCAAACGTGTCTGGGCCATCCAGCCTGGCACACCATCATCAGTCTGCCCCGCACTTGACCCCTGTGCCCTGGCAGAGGCAGAGCACCAGCACCCCCTCCTCTGCCCAGGTGTTTTCTTGGTGTAGTTCCTTCCTCCCACACCAGACCAGCTCCGGTTCAGCGTTGCCTCTCCTACCTGTTGTTGGCGGTGAAGTTGGCTGCCAGGAGCGTGGTGGCTTCTTTCCTCCTCATGCCTGCTGGTGGCTCAGTGCTGCGGGAGCTGGAGGGGCCTGGGAACGCTCGCGGCTGATCGTCCTGGCAGGCAGGCACCAAACCCATGTCCTCAAATACCGTCCTTTTCCTTCACAAGCCAGTTTCTCCCCCATGCAAGAAAACTCTATTCCACAGCACGGCAGCCTCAAGGCTTTGCCTGCGCCTCTGCCTGCCTCCACCAGAAGCCAGGAGCAGGGAGACGATGGGCCAAAAGCCCTGGGCCAGCAACAAGGCCAATGCAGGCTAGAGGACCAGCCAAGCATGTTGGCTATTCAAACTGCGTCAGCTTTGGCTGCTGGCTGAGGAAGGACCAGCCTGGCCATCACGGATGCACCGCCCCATTCCCAGCTCTAGGGAAACCCTCCTGCTCCTCCATCTGACTTAGCCCACCTGCCCCAGGAGGCCACCATCCTCACCAAGATGTTCCATGTGGTTTTCTTTTCCGGGGAGGTTTTGCTCAGTGTCGCCAGTTTCTTTCTTCCCCCAGCACCGCTCTCAAAGAAGGTCAGGAAGTCTCCTGGCCGCTCCGAGCTTTAGCCCGAACCCAGGAAAAGCAGAGAGGAGGAGAGAATGCATGTTCTGGAGTTAATACTGCATGCAGACACACTGCAACAGGACAGCGATAGCAGGGTTCTCATTCCGCACAGGCTGCTTCGGCGAGAAGAGCCTCTGATCATGGCAGGGTGCTCTGACAACAGGCACAGCATGAAGCTGAGGCACACTGAGCACCCGCTGTTGTGACACAGGGGAGAAAAGGGATGGAGAGTCATTACACAGCCATGAAATCTATGAATGATTCTTTTTTATATGGAGCTTCAGATTTTAGGACGATGTCTGGTGATAGAATATATTAAAGGGATGGGCACAGGGCAACAAGAGAACGGAAAATCATGATTCAGAGGCGGCCCTAGGAGGTCACTGGAGACAGAAGGAGAATTTCCACCTCCTAACACAGCCCAGCCATGGTCCTCAGGGTCCATGAGGGGCTGTTGTAATTGAACGGTCCTGTCCCGTGGAATTAAATTGAGTGTCTTTTGTGACAGGGGCTGCCCAGACACAGAAATACACTCCATTTCCCCAAGTCCTAATCAAGTGACCTTCCCCCCCAAAAAACAAACAAACCAACCAACAGCTAGATCTTGGCTTTCCAAGGCCAGGTTATGACCGTCAATGTGTACAGCAGAGCTTAATGCACATTTTTTAAAAGCTCTGGTTCCCTCACAGGACAGGAGAGGTCAGACAGATGGGTGGGGTTTCACCCAGTTCCATCCGTGGGACAGACAGACACAGGTCAGTGGTTGGAGCTGTACCTGCGCGTGCTGTTCGCCCGCTGGTTAACCTGGGTGGTGCTGCTGGACCTCCGGAGGTTGTTCATTGCCCGGGATCCCGCATCTTCCTGCGGAGGAGAGAGCTAAATTCAGCAGCGAGTTAAGGAGAAGCATGGGCAGGCGGAACTGGGATGCCTGGCCTAGGCAGGCTCTCTCTCCCCGTGAGTCAGGCATCCTAAAATAGCACTGCTGGTGGTGTTACCCTTCCACCCCCTTCAACACAGCCCCGACACAATGTTCCCCATGGCTGCCAATCCCTCCTTGAGGCAGAGCGCAATCACACCTCGCTCCCTCTCAGGCTCCGGCGCTGCTGCTGAGCCAG